ATAAAATTAACCATCAGAAGGCTCCCATGTAATCTCCTCCTTTTGAGTGTTTGAGTATGAACTGCGCCTAGCGACTTGCTTTTAACTAGGAGAGAAGTGGGGAGGCGCCACTTCTAATGTAAAGTGCGAGGTGGCGGCTTCTATCCTGCTTACGCGCTGCTCTCTTGCTCAGATGAAGCCAGCTGCCACCCATGAGCTGCCCTATGGCCCACGAGGCCCACGTGGGCAGCCTCTGCCAAACAGCCCTAGAGCACTGATCCTGTCAATGACTCTGCAGGCAATGGAGGGGATCCACCTTGACCAGAGCCCTAGGAGGACAGAGCCCGGCCCACAGCCTGACTGTAGCCTTGGGAGTGGCCGGCTACACCCAGACTCTCAACCCACAGAAACTGTGAGGTAATAAATGTTGTAGCTTATAGCCAGTCAGTTTTGGGGTCCTTTGTTACACAGCAATATAGCTAACTAGTACAGTATATAAATGAGCTGGAACATAGTGAGTCAGGATGCAAATACAATAAGGGAAATGGGTTCACACTCCACCTGCTGTCCTCCCACTGGTATTCGTCCTCACTTCCATCTCTGTTCCACCCCCTGAGGAGGGGGGCTGCTGACGGGTGCTCAGATGAGCCCCCTTCAACTGCTCCACCCAGAACGGAAGCCTGGGTCTCCCTGCTCGTCCCTTTTCTCCCTTGTGAGGGGAGAGGGGTCTGGAGGCAGTGCCCCAGAGCATCCTCTGCCTGTGAGCTGCCTGCCAATCTCCCCAGTCGGGACTGGGGCAGATGGCCTAGGGCAGCACCTTGCTACACGTGGCATCAGGCTTGCTTTACCCCTTCTTTGGGTTCTTGTCCCTAAAGAGGTCCTCCCACCTTTCTTTGCACCGCAGGGGCAAGATTGAGGGTCTGGATCCAGGTTTCAGGGTAGAAGTAGATGGGAAGCCCATGGGGAGGGTCCCACCTGCATGCCCGAGACCCTCACTGCAGTTTTAAATCAAAAGCTCTGGTGAGTAATTGCCTTTCCCTGACCCTGGTGTTTTAGGGTGCATGTGTGTAGGTGTGTGTCGCTATGTGAGGGTGCGTTCACGTGGGGAGGAGGAAGGATGCAAGTCGGGGACTCCTGGATAATTTTCGCCAGTGTTCTCTTAATGATAACCCAACTCACCGTTTCCTGACATAGGCCAAAGCCCAGGGTGCTCATGAGTCCCAGTGGTCCAGGGCGGTACTACAGTATCCAGAGCGAGGTCCAGCTGCGGTCTGCGAAGAAAAGCTTCTTTGTTGTGAGTTGGCCTAGGAGTAGGCAGCCAGCCAGCCAGTATAGGCTGTAAGGAGAAAACTGTAGTTATTTCAAGACTTGACTTTTTCATGGTTTCTTTCCTTCTCTCTCTTCTTATCTTTCTCACAAAAGTAAGCTCTCAGAGTATGGCTCTGGGGAAAGTGGACAGAGACCATGGTACCTCTTCTCTGTCTCTTTCTCTCAAGATTATAGTTCGCAGGTTCATGACTGATCCAGTCCCTCTTACCTGGACAGAGTTCCTAAGTTTGGAGGGCAAATACCTAATGGCAACATTTCCCAAATTTTGCTCCAGATCATGCTACTATGGATTTTATGAAGAAAATGTCCTGGGGTCTGGTTAGTTTTGAAGACTTCAGTGGACTTTCTTTGAGCCTTTTCCAAGATGTGATGTGTATTATGCAGGGTTTTCCAAGCTCTGTAGACTCATTTTCTGGAAAACATCTCATGGTATAAGACCTCTTCAAAATACACTTGGGGTAAAATTTATCCAAATATATAAATAATGTCCATGTGCTGGGACAGCCAGTTGGCAGAGCTCCGGAGCTCTGGAATCTGGATGAAGGTTCCAGGCCATTGATTTCCTACTTTCTTCCCACCCAGATGTGATGAAGGACTGAATAAATGAAGCCCCGGGTCATTCTGGTTCATGCTTTTTTATTTCCTGTCTTACTCAGATTTAGCGACTCTCACCGAAATTCTATTGTTTTTCCAATAATACTATACAGTGTCTTGGCATTAGTAGTTCTCTACTAAACAATGACTTATTTAAACTGCTCTAAGTACACATGAATCATTTCACCTCTCATTTTGTGGGAGGGTCTTAGAATATACTTTCCAATACTGATGTTTCAAACTAAAACCTTATGACCTAAAAATGTCTAGAATTTACCTGTGGGCATGGACCCAGCATTTATTCTTCAGTGTAGTAGTTAATATATGGACCCCCCTGTCCCACTCAGTCTTGCTGGTGCCCCGGATGAGCTCAGTGTCCCCACTACCCACCCTGGAGGAGCTGACCCTGCATAGATACTACTGTTAGCCTGACGTCTTCCTCAGGAAGTAGGCATCCTGTAACAGAGGGGCCCAGGGGCTCACTGTGCCGCCATCCACCCCCACCCACCACCCAGGCTCCTCCAAGTTTCCAGGGTGGAAGAGCTCAGGCTGGTCACACGGGCCTTGGGAAGAAAGAACAGAGCCGCCAGCCGTCTCTCTGTGGGCTGAGCCCAGGACTTTGGCTTGGCCTGGATTACTGGAGTACTGGCATGTAAAGGTAGGGAAAGGACATATGAATGATTTCTTGCTAGGATGCTATTTGTATCTGCCTTGAGGTAAAGGGAAAGGCCAAGGGACAAGGCTAGTGCTGTAGACTGAATGTCTGTGTCCCCTCAAAGTCCCTGTGTTGGAACCCTGGGGTGGTGATAGGAGGAGGCGGGGCCTTTGGCAGATGTGCCAGTCATGAGGGCAGAACCCTGATGAATGGGATTTGTGCCCTTCCGAGACTTCAGAGCCCTTCCTTCTCCCTTCTGTCATGTGGGGACACAGTGAGAAGTCTTTAGTCTACAACCTGGAACTGTGCCCTCACCAGACCCCACATCTGTCAGATGCTTGATCTTGGATTTCCCAGCCTCTGGAGCTGTGAGAAGTAAATGTTTGTTGCATTAAGGTGCCCAGCCTGTGGTGTTTTGTGCTAGCAGCCTGCATGCATGGAGGCAGTTAAATTGAGGCCTTTGCTACCAGGGATCATGTGGATGTGCCTGTGCGTGCGCTTCACCCTGCCGGCTGTGAGTCACCCCCAACGGATAACAGCTGAATGAGCCTGGGATGAGTGGGCGCGTTTAAGTAAAAGAATTAACAGTGGGGACATTTAAGTAAAAGAAGAACAGTGGGGAAATGGTGATCTAAAGTTAGGGGGTTGGCTCTGCACCTCAACTCTGCTACTTTATTAGTGTGACCTTGGAGGATTCATTTTCGTCCTTAGAGCTAGTTTCTCATAAGTAACATGGAGCTGCTTATCTTGCTACCTATGTGCGTGTATATCTGCATACGTATATATACGCACAGACGTGTTTGGAATCACAGAACGTGCGAACATGGTTGTTTTGGGGATCTGGAAAATGCATGGCACTTCCCTTTCTTCTTTGTACTTTTCACTAATACCTTTTTTCGAAGGTAAAAATGTAAATCATACCCAAATTATGGTCAGTGTAATATCGTAACCAGGTGATGAAACACTGTACTCTTTGATGCTTCTGAGTCTTTGAAATGGGGGGGATCTCATAAAAAATTCCCACAAATCAAATCAAATATCATTCCTTCAGGGTCTTTTTTTCTAAATTTGTGCATACTATATAGGTCTCTATTATTTAGTCTTTTAAGCAGATAATCTACCTTTTTCTCCTCTAATAGGTGTTGGAGGAATCCTTAGAAGGTAACAGAAAGACTATTGTTCTAAGAAAATATAGAAATAACACATCACTACTTGTAAGAGCAGCAAATTTTTAACATCTAGTAATTACTTGAAAATGCAAAACAGTAGCAACTCCCCGGCCAAAAAATGTTAGTATTGAAAAATATAAAACCAGTTTAAATTACCCATTTAACAAATGAAGTGCCTCTATGTTTTATTAGTATTTACAAGATGACATAGATATTTTAAATTAATAAACTTATAAATAAGAGGTCAGCAGCTTTTTAAGGGAGCATGTGACAATTTCCCCTGCTTCATAGGTCCCAGAGATCAGATGGGCCCCAACCTGCGTAGCACTTTATTCTTTCAGCTATTTTTTATTTCCATTCATGCACCTCTATCAATCAATGAGCAGTACAACTTGGGAGAATTTCAAAATACTATTTTTCAGCCACAATGAAATTTTCCCATTTGAAATTACAATTTGATGGTTTTAAATACTTTACAAATGCTTCAAATGAGATTATGAAACTAACCAGCAAATGTCTTACTTTACTAAAACATAGGCACATTTTCCTTTAAATATTTGAGATTCTATCTACAGTACCTCTGTTATATTCATTCAAATTATTCTTATATTCTGAAACAATGAAGCTTCTAAACTGATGGAATGTTGCCAGGGGATTTCAACAGAGTTTGAAGGCGACATAACCAAAAGGCATAGTTTAAGTTGGCTTAGGGAATGAATGGGCTCCTTATCGGAGCAGCTGAAGGCTGTATATCATTAACGGCATCTGTCAGCACTCACAGGGCCCCATATAGAACGGCAGGCCCCCCACCCCCGCAGAGCAGCAACCTCCAGCTTCTGGCACCTTAAAATCTAAACAGAAAGACAGCCCCAAGCCGTCACTGCAAGGACACTGGTGCACTTTAGTGATACTGGCAGGACCATAGAGCAACTGCTAATTAATGTTAATTATGTAGAACAGTTCTGTTAACATGAGCATGAAGATGTCAAATTAAAATTAGCCAGCTATCATCACAAATATACTACTTGTGGAGATAAGTTTATATTTGTAATTTCTGATTTTTAAGTCTTTCTCATGTGACATTTATTTTTAAAAGGTATGAAAATGATCCATTCACCTCCCTTTTTATATGATGAATTCTCAGTTTAATTCAGCTCACATATTTCTGTATCAATAGTATTAAATTCATTCTATGGCAACTTTTAGTTGCTTTTGTATATTTTAAGTACATTTCACTTGTGAACATGTCCAAAGCAAAACAAAAAGATCCAAAGGAAGTTTCATTAAATAAATTTATTTGTTAAAATAATTTAACTCCAAATACAACTGTTGAATTTTCATTGAGTCATAACTACAATTCATGTTTTAATTGAAATGTCAAGGTTTAACAACTGACATTGTTACAAAACAATAAACTGTTGTTCAATTTTAAATGGTCAGTTGTATTAGAGCTCAACAATTAACTGTGAATTATATATCTCTGGGAAACCCCAAATCAATAATGATAAGTCTGTTTCCAAAACCCACTGCAATCATTCTTGAAACCCTGATCAAGATTAACAGATGCACAATGACAAATTAAAAAAAAAGACCCCCATAGTCTTTAACATTTGACTGGCTAAGGAGACAATTAAAGCTTACCCAGTGGAAACGCAAGATTAGTGAGAGCAAAATACTTAAAAAGAAAACAAGAAAACAACAGCTACAAACAAAATAAACACTTTCATATTCATACATACATAGACACCATTCCCACTGGAAAGCTCGTGAGAACAAATAGCAGACATCCTCAGGCAACACTTCTTTATACAGAAAAGCAAATATTAGCAGTTTGACCACAGAAAAGTGATGGCAACTAAGTGTAGTGATTAGAATAAAAGTTCAGTCCTAATCTACAAACCAAAGAAGAAAATCATCAAAGCACCTTTCAATAGTTTAAGAAAGATTTTATGTAATACTTTGGATCAGATGCTGGCGTGTTTCATGTAAGTTGAACAAAATGAAAGGGATTGGTTACCATCACTATCACAGCTTAAAAGCTGCAACATAAAAGGAAAAGACTTTAAAAAATGCTGCTTTGTATAAAAGTAAACCAAGACAAAATGGAAACAAAAGAAAACCTTATCACAAAGAGCTAAAGAAAAAGTGGGTCTTTGGATCAAACCATAACATTTTTAAGGCATGTTAGAAAAGCTTTCACTTATCTAGTTGCTAGTCTGATCAGGGCATAAAATAAATAGTGACACAAGGTCACCAACTTTTCTCTGTAGGCCCTATTATTTCATGTGCCAACAAATGTAATCTTTCTGTTCTTCAGCTTTTTATTAACATCTCAACAAGCACATTCATTCATGCTGAGTTATGTTCCTACCAGATGAAACACCAACAGTAAGAGCACGCGAGGGTTTCCATGATTCCAAATATTTTTTAAATTTGTTACTAAGCATGTAGGCCTGTGTGGAAACACCCTTCAGGCAGCCAGCTTGGTTACTATTAACAACTTTACAAGAAAAGTTGCTCACCTTACTGTCTGACACAAACATTTCTAACTAAGACCCAAATTTTTAGATAATCTTTTCCACCTTGTATTTCACCATACCTTTCATATTATTTAACTTCTTTTTCTTGTCTGCATAGCAGTCCATACTGTAAAGTTGTAGAATGTTTATGGATGTTTCTAATAATGTAACTTTAGTTGTCATAAATTGCTATTAAATATGGAGTTCTAAAAAAAGTTACTGAGAAGTTAGAGGTTTTAGAACATAACCAATTCACTAACAAATATTTCTATTTCAGTAGATCAGTGATAGAAGTGTTTGGGTCAAATCAACTTTTACATAATGAAATTTATTTCAGTAAAACTGGTCAGAACTTTGTATTCTATAAACAAGGTGCCTCATAATTGGGGGTTATAAAAAAACTAAAGGACGTGAATATTCACAATTCCAAGACTTTTGACAACCATGGCCTGGGTTTACCCACATAGTTTTCTCATCTATGAAAAGTACTTATCCACCTTTTTTCTATCTTCTAAGCTTAATGTCAGTTTACTAAACACTTGGGGGCTACCACTGATTTCAATCATGTATAAAACACTTAAATAATTTAAAAGAAAAAAATGTTTTTGATACACTATATTCTGCAGTAGAGATTCTCAGCATAGGCAACTACTTCCAACTTGTGCCAAATTCTTAGGAACACTGAACACACATGCGCACAAAAACATACACTCTTCTCTCAGTTACACATGTAAGACCAGAGGTTACTTGCACAAGAGAGTGAAAAAGAAAACCAAAATGTGGGGTGGCATGTAGATCACAGGCCAAATTTATCTCCAGAGGATCAGCTCAAGATACTCTCTCCAGCGTTTATAACTCTGAAGTTGGTTGAAAACCCTTCTATGCTTGATTGTAAAACTTATGAATAGGTTTTTTCCTGTGCCATTAGTCATGCAAATGAGAAATACTTCACGGCTATGGAAACCAAAAATGTCAGAGCTTGAGCACCTTTTCAAAACAAAATATTCACTCTAGCTTTATTTGCTACTTCAGTAATCAGGGCAAAATCTTTGTAAGAAAATCTTTATAGAATTCTCCAGGAAAATTAAAGATAAAGGGGTTTTTTTTTTTGTCCTTCACCTGCTCTGTTAATTTATGTTCTACTTTTAGGTCCAAATTTTTTTTTAACATGGTTTTTCAACTTTTTAAATGCTTGCAATAAAGCTCTGCTACAGCAACCTTGATTTTGAAAGCAGGTTAGCCAAGAATCACACAACCATAGCCCTTAAAGGCAAGAAGGAATCTGCTGCTTTAATCAACATTAAAAATGCAAGATATCTGTACTGTCCTGCGAAGTTTCTGCAAAAGGGAACATGTGGATGCAACATGGCTTCATTTTCCTTCCATGATGGTACTAGTTCATCTACTAGAACGCTTCTCGTTAGTAAGGCTAGGCAATCGCTTCCCATCACAGTTGCTTCCTTCTTGTTCAGCAAAATAATAAAGACCGTCCCTGCTTGGTTAACAGAGGGTGGGTTTGAAGTTTTAATTCGGATAAAACCCGCGTGAGAGCCTCCATTTTCTGTGGCAAAGCAGGTGATTTAAAACATTCTAAAGCCAGGTTGTATTTTTACACAACCTGTTCTGACTTTTGCTCTATCAAGGATGGATGAATGAATTAGTTCTGTATCACAAATTAGGATAACATCTACAATTAAGCATCAATTTTGAAAAACAGAGTATGTAAGCTGAGCAAAGAATCTCTCCCTGGAATGCTGTTGGCAGGTCAGCTGTTAGTATCTTACTAGACGGAATACATTGGTAAGAAGCACTATCTTAGGTCCTGAAATCCAGTACTCTCGTAGGAAAATATTTCTCCTTTACTTTTTTTTTTAAAGAAGATAAAATATTTCAATTGTAAGTGGCCAGAGGAATTCTTCTGGTTTCTCTCTCATGATTATTTTTAATTTACACAATAGTTGCTTCTGTCAATTCAGCGACAATGCTACCGTAGCTTTCAAAGGAGATCACCCTGTAGTCGATTGGCTATGTCTTCAAAGGTTGCAGGCGTGCAGAGGAGACCATGGGCAGTGATGAAAACGGTAGTTACTGAACCCAAATGCTAGAGATATCAACTAACACCCACTGCTCAATTCTGAATAAGAGCTGCCACTTTCCGCTGAAGATCTCACACCACACATCCGGCTACTCCACGGTGGAGCAGACGAGGTGTGCGTCGCCTGCAGCCTGGGGCAAGTCCCGCCCAGGACGGCCGTGCTGGGTGCTATTGGATGTTACACGCGGAGCAGCACGGGGCATCCTTGTCAGGCTGGGCGGCATAGTTCATCTGCCTCACAATCTCAGCAAAGAGTTCGTCCACCATTGTTTTACTCTTAGCAGAAGTCTCCATAAAGGGGCAGCCCCACTCTTCAGCAAGGGCTCTGCCTTCGTTGGATGACACTTCTCTCTCACTTTCCAGGTCCACTTTGTTCCCAACCAAGATGACTGGCACTTTCTCATACCTACACGAGAAGAAACAAAACACATTACATATATTGTAGAAGTTGGCCCAGAGTAAAACAGGTAAAAATACGTATTTTCTTTTCTTTTTCACTATAGGCTACTACAAATATTCTCTATAGTTGTATGAAAAATTATTTGCTCCACTTGGCTAGACATCTACCCAAGGGCATTTAGAAGCTGCTCTCATAGTGGATCATAAATGGGTTTTTCAAAATGATGTTTTTATTAATTGGTTATACATCCTTAAAACCAATTTACTTTTCCAGATATACTTGGGAAGTTACTCTCATGATCTCTTAGGTGGACTAATTTAAACGTTTTTCATTATAACACACACTCAGTATTTCAGTTGATGAGGTAACAGTGCTGCTGAGTAAACAATTCCTCATTGTCAGTAATTTACTATGTTTGATAAGTAAACAAAACTGATTGTGTTCTAGTAGTTCCTGAAGAAAAGAGCTAGTAGAAGTCATTAGGATAGAAGCCATTAAATATAACTGTACTCTATCCCTTTATAAAACTGCTATAGATTAGCCAGTTGAAAGACAGTTATGGTTCTTTTCACCCTCACAAGGATTAAACATTTCATCATTAGCTTTATCTTCTTTTCCTTCCTAACTAGATAGAATAGGTATGCTACAGATTAAATATTTGTGTTCCCCCCCAAATTCCTATGTTGAGACTTAATCCTCAGTGTCATGATATTTAGGAGGTGGGGCCTTTGGGAGGTGCTCAGGTCATGAATGGGATTAGTGCCCTCATAAAAGAGGTCCCAGAGAGCTCCCTTGCCCCTGTGCCATGTAAGGACACAGCAAAAAGATGAGTCTATGAGCTAGGGAACTGGGCCTGCACCAGACACTGAATCTGGCCAGAGCCTGAGCCTTGGACTTTCCAGGCTCCAGAACTGTGAGAAACAAATTTCTGTTGTCTAAGCCACATAGTCTATGTTGTTTTTTTTTATAGAGGTCTGACAGACTAAGATAAGGTGTCTCTGAGTAAAAATGTTTCAAAAAAGCTAAGCTAATAAAGACAACAAATGATATGAAAAGAACAAAGAAAAAAGGTCCAAAGTCATTCTGGTACCTAAAGATGATTGGCTCCACAATGGTAACTAACTCACAGTGTAAAAATACATGGCGTGAAATTCAACATCCATTCATGATAAACACTCTCAACAAAATGGCTATAGAGGGCAAGTACCTCAACATAATAAAGGCCATATATGATAAACCCACAGCCAACATCATACTGAACAGCGAGAAGCTGAAAGCTTTTCCTCTAAGATCAGGAACAAGACAAGGATGCCCACTCTCTCTACTTCTTTTCCAACATAGTACTGGAGGTCCTGGCAATCAGACAACACAAAGAAATAAAAGGCATCCAGATGGGTAAGGAAGAAGTCAAACTGTCACCGTTTGCAGATAACACGATATTGTACATAAAAAAGCCTAAAAAATCCACTTCCAAATTACTAGAACTAGTATCTGAATTCAGCAAAGTTGGAGGATACAAAATTAATACATAGAAATCTGTTGTGTTCCTATACACTAACGATGAACTAGCAGAAAGAGAAATCAGGAAAACAATTCCATTCACAATTGCATCAAAAAGAATAAAATACTTAGGAATAAACCTAACCAAGGAAGTGAAAGACCTATACCCTGAAAAGTACAAGACACTCTTATGAGAAATTAAAGAGGGCACTAATAAATGGAAATTCATCCCAGACTCTTAGTTAGGAAGAATTAATATTGTCAAAATGGCCAACCTGCCTAAAGCAATCTACAGATTCAATGCCATCCCTATTAAAATACCAACAGCATTCCTCAACGAACTGGAACAAATAGTTCTAAAATTCATATGGAACCACGAAAGACCCCGAATAACCAAAGCAATCCTGATAAGGAAGAATAAAGCAGGGGGGATCTCGCTTCCTAACTTCTAGCTCTACTACAAAGCCACAGTAATCAAGACAATTTGGTACTGACACAAGAACAGACCCATAGACCAGTGGAACAGAACAGAGAGTCCAGATATTAACCCAAGCATTTATGGTCAATTAATATATGATAAAGGAGCCATGGATATACAATGGGGAAATGACAGCCTCTTCAATAGCTGGTGTTGGCAAAACTGGACAGCTACATGCAAGAGAATGAAACTGGAGTACTGCCTAACTCCACACACAAAAGTAAACTCGAAATGGATCAAAGACCTGAATGTAACTCATGAAACCATAAAACTCTTAGAAGAAAATATGGGCAAAATGCTCTTGAACATAAACATGAGCAACTTCTTCATGAACATATCTATCTGGGCAAAGGAAACAAAAGCAAAAAATGAGTAAGTGGGTCTATATCAAGCTGAAAAGCTTCTGTACAGCAAAGGATACCATCAACAGAACAAAAGGCATCCTACAGTATGGGAGAATATATTCATTAAATGACATATCCGATAAGGAGTTGACATCCAAAATATATAAAGAGCTCATGCACCTCAACAAACAAACAAGCAAATAATCTAATTAAAAAATGGGCAGAGTAGCTGAACAGACACTTCTCTAAAGAAGAAATTCAGATGGCCAACAGGCACACGAAAAGATGCTCCACATCATCAGGGAAATGCAAATTAAAACCACAATGAGATATCAGCTCACCCCAGTTAGGATGGCCAACTTCCAAAAGACAAACAACAAATGGTGGCAAGGATGTGGTAAAAGGGGAAGTCTCCTACACTGCTGGTGGGAATGTATATTAGTTCAACCTTTGTGGAAAGCAGTATGGCATTTCCTCAATAAAACTAAAAATAGAAGTACCATTTGACCCAGGAATTCCACTCCTAGGAATTTACCCTAAGAATGCAGGAGCCCCAATTTCAAAAAGACATATGCACCTGTATGTTTATCGCAGCACTATTTACAATAGCCAAGAAATGGAAGCAACCTAAGTGTCCATCAGTAGATGAATGGATAAAGAAGATGTGGTACATATACACAATGGAATATTATTCAGCCATAAGAAGAAAACAAATCCTACCATTTGCAACAACATGGATGGAGCTAGAGGGTATTATGCTCAGTGAAATAAGCCAGGCGGAGAAAGACAAGTACCAAATGATTTCACTCATCTGTGGAGTATAAGAACAAAGGAAAAACTGAAGGAACAAAACAGCAGCAGACTCACGGAACCCAAGAACGGACTAACAGTTACCAAAGGGAAAGGCACTGGGGAGGATGGGTGGGAAGGGAAGGTTAAGGGGAATCAGGGGCATTACGATCAGCACGCATAATGTCGGGAGGTGGGGCACAGGGAAGACAAGTAATGACTCTATAGCATCTTACTACTCTGATGGACAGTGACTGTAATGGGGTATGTGGTGGGGACTTGATAATGGAGGGAATCTAGTAACCACAATGTTGCTCATGTAATTGCATATTAATGATACCAAAATAAAATAAATAAAATAAAAAAAGATAAACATTATACGTAACTTAAAAAGAAATCCATTACTACCCAGTTTCCTCTGACCTTCTGGATGACTTGATCGAGTTGCACCTGGTAGGTGCCAAGGGAGACAGACAAAAAAAAAAAAAAATACATGGCGCTACTCTGAATATTTACTTACTTGGTTTTAGAAGCTTTCTGTAATTTTAGTATAAGTGTATGTGTGTGTTGTTTGTATTTTCCCCTAAGCAGAATGCACCTCTAATTCATAAAGGAAGTAAAGTGCAAAATTGCACACAAGTGATAACAAGTGTGACTGGACACAGCTGATCTGTTAGGAAGAGAAAACTGCAGAGGCAAGACTTTGCTGAGGTAGGACTCCTCTGGAGTTTGTGTCACTCAGGAAACTGCACAATGGGCAGGTAGTTAATGTGAGAAACACTTCCACAATCTCATCATCCTGTCGGAGTGGCTCTCTCCCCTCTCCCTAACTCGTAAAGCAAAGCATATTTCCAGCAGGCTCTCCCTTTTCTCTTCGGCACTAGATCACACTGAGAATGGTCTCAACAAGAGGCCTCACTCCAAGCAGCGAGCCACTTAGTCTGAGACACAAAAACAACTTACGAACGCATGAGGGTAAACCTAGACTTTGGATATTAACATTTTGCAGGAAATTATTGGGATCATCTCCAATTTATATCAAAGGACTTTATATGAATTTACTGTATGTCAGCTGTACCTTAGGCTTTCTGTCCCCAGAGCATACTGAGAGCTCTGAACATATGACACAAGGGGTTTTCACATCTTCTAGGGCTCTTACATATAAGCAACTGTGTGTATCCCTTGGCCTCCAGGAGGACAAATGGCAGTGAGAGAGCAGCTGCATTACGAACGTTCTATGTCAGCTTCTTCGCTTACAAGCCCTCCTGACCTGCTGTACAGAGCAGCTTGGCGGGGGCTGATGCTGCCAGCACAGTCAGCACAATGTCAGTGCCTAATCTGTCTTACTTGCAGAGAGATTACTGCATTTCATTTTTCTTATGAGAGTATATGCATCACAGCGTGCTTTCAAATGCATTGTTTGGCAGTGAATAACAAACATTAATGTGATTCAGTAATATTTATTGGTTGAATTTAATTAAGTTAAAATTAATTTCAATCTGTGTATACTTTATAATAAAAAGGAATAAAGTAATAAAATACCACTTCCTGTTAGTAAGTGAGAAATATTTTAAAGATTTCAGTTTACATATCATGTTTATATGCAAATAAGGATTTCTTACATTTTTAAATAAAAACTACACAATACTTGTAAAAATATCAAGTCATTAACAGTTGTAGGATATACTTTCAAATCAAGGATCTGAGTAAATCTTGCCAACAGAGTCTCAAAAGGGAACTAGAACACCGCAAACAAGGGCCCACATGTACAGCATTTATTGCTAAGTGAAGATGGCAGTGAGGTCAGTATGAGAGAGCCCGTCCACGACATCACTAATTGGTTTTCCTAAAACCAACATGCTCAAGATGCTGGGGAAATCCAGGTTACTCTCAGA